TATATTTGCGGGTAGGGCATTAAATAAAGTCACTAACGAGTCCTAGAAAGCACCCTTAACTAAAGAAATTTCTATTACAGACGCATTACTAGAGCGCAGTGTCCGTTGGGGATGGTAACTAGGCAGTTGCAAGTATTCGGGCCACGCTTCACTGAAAAAGAGCTCGATGTCCGAGCTTAAGAATGCTTAATTGCGTATTTTCTAGTGTAGGTTGCCGGCCGAGCTCAAGGACGTCCCTTTCTGAGCAGAAATGATTAAAGAAAAAACCAGCAGCAGATTCTGAACCCGTTGTAATCTTTTCTGCAAAAATGCGGGAAGTGGAATGGGACGGAGTCATTAAAGTTAAGTTTGAATAGGACGACGCTTTGAACAAGAGCCTTCTTAGTCTCTTGTGGTGTCATATTCTTGACCTTTCTCAGAGTGAAAAGCACGTTATAGCGTGATGATGTGACCTCTTTTACATGTTCTGTCCATTCAAGGTCCTCACTAAGCGAAGTTCCTAATAACTTAATTTTCTCCAGTTTATCAACTGTCTTGTCTTTAAAAGTGAGAGGTGGAGTGTATCCGTCAAGATTATGCACTTTAGACATTTGCTTGGGGGTAATATCCATCTGCTTGGTCTTGGTCTAATTCATTAGCAGGTTACTATCAGCAGCCCACCACTCGATGCTGCCTAAGTTTTGAAAAAAACGGGCCCAAGAATTGAGCCCTGTGGAACTCCAAATAGGACATCTGCAAGACTAGATGGCTTGTCATTGACTTGTACAAACTCTCGAAAGTTAATCAAGTAGCTCAAGAACCACAGAAGAGCTGCCTTGGACAATCCAATCGCATGTAGCTTACGTATGACAATAGAGTAGTCGACCGTATCAAATGCGTTAGAAAACTACGCGAAGGCAATGAGTATTAACTCTATTCTTCATTGCTCGAATTATGTCGCCCCTAATACGTAAAAGGACGCTAGTGATCGAATGACGCTTACGGTGTCCACAGGTAGTATCCTGGAGCACCCGGCGTTCCTGATCGAGTAGAGATTGCTGGTAGGATAGCGATAAGTTGGTTATGATCAGATTCACCAGAAGAATCAACTTTCAGGATGGGCGAAACACTGGGAAAGAGTTGTTATAATAAAACTGTTAAGAGTGTGTGTCAGAGGCAAAGCTATAATATCGGCGCTTAGTTTAAATCTGATCGGCGCCAGTTGAACAGTCAGATCTCATATAGTAGTTAACATCTTCATTACCTCACTATAAGTAACGGGGCGTAGGTTAAACGAGCAGGTACGGTTCTCTTCAGGAGGGGAATTAATGCGATCTAAAAAGAAGTCTGATGGATTTGCTTCTGATCCTAGTAAGCGTTGTGATATGGGGCTAAAGTGCTTGTTCAGCGCGTCAGAGTCCGCCTTGATTGGCTGGGGACTGGGATGTAAAATACGATGTTTGGTATTCCACAGTCCTTTGGGTTTATTGGATGATAGGGCCCTCCTAAGAAAAGCACGTTTAACTGATTTGATCTTACTCGTGATCTTGTGGCGCAGCTCACGAAATGATTCCAGACACTTGCTAGGTTGCTTTTGTGCGCTAAATACCTATTAGTCTCACGTTTCCTGATGTCTTCCTTGTTCAACCAGGACGCAGGGGGTCGCGTGATCTTAGTTCTACGCAGAGGAGCGTGCTTGTCCCAACAAGATTTAAAGAGCGAGTTAAAAATGTCTAGTTTCTCGCTGGGATCATCAACACCGTAAACGACGTTAAAAGGAACTCTACTAAGCTGTCCCAACGAATCGCTTTTCATCACGGAGTAACTTGTAATGGGGTTGAAAACCTTTGACCCTTACGTTAATACAAGCATACGGTCCATCATGATCACTAGTAGTTGGACAGGGCAGCACATAACGATGCAAGGCGCGATTAGGTGCCTTACCAATGATGTGGTCAATGAGTGTTTTAGTTGTGGCTATGGTTCTTGTTGGGCGCTGTATGTGCTGATGTAGGTTAAGGGACGTCAGGATACCGACGTATTTCTTTACTTCGGGACGATTTGGCGTGAGCATTTCTACGTTAACATCAACGGTAGCGACAATAAGACCATTCCGAAGAACATTCAACTGGCCGAATAATTTCTCTACTGTGTCGAGCCACGTTTGGTGGTTTCTGAATAAGTTCCGATCGAAAGAGAACCCATAAAAGCATTTTAACATGTTTATTACGGCCTGGGATCTCTACAAATAAGTGTTCTAAATCTGGGGCTATATTCTCAATATCAATACGCCTTTTGTAGCTTATGCTTTCCCTCAAATGTGCTCCAACACCGCCTCCACGGATCTTGTTGTGATTGCGAAAAACGTGACTGTAGCTAGGAATGGTGGCACACTGCAATAGGAGCGGATTATCTTTAAGCCATGTTTCACTCCTAGTCGCAATGTCAAAAGGGTACTCGTCTATTGTAGCGAGTAACTTGTCAAACGAAGATGCCATGCTTTGTGTGTTTATGTGGAATGTTCGAAGCTGGTGCGATCTCTCTTGAAGCACTTGAAGGTGTTCATCAACAAAGTCTGGATCCTTGGTTCCAGGCTCGCGCATACAGCTGGTATCCGAAAGTGATAAGTTATGCTTATTAAAAGGCAAAACACTGATTGTACACTTGGGACACGCCCATTCTTTTGGTCTGGATGATAATATATATTTTGGGTCGAAAACCTTTGAACACTTCGCATGAGTCACATCAAAGCAAAAGGAGTGATTTCTGGCGACAGGTTTCTCACATTGGGGGCATCGAGGGGCTTCTGATTTTCGCTTTGGAGGGCCGGGATTGACGCCAATATCGCCACCTTGGAGCAGTACTTGGCTCGCTGCACAAGAGTTCGAGTAGTACAGACACCGACTACGCGATAGTTTGGGCTTCCTGTGGAGGAAACGCTGTCTACCGCAAAAGGGCGTAAAAAAATAAAATTTCCGCTCCCATGTTGATGTTAACAAGGTCCTGAGAACGACAGAACCACTGTACCACTTTTCTCATTCCAGCAACCCAGAAGTCTGCTTTCTACTCGTCTTGAGATCTCTGAAGTTGAATAATTCGCTTCGTTGCCTCCAGTGGTCTGTCTTTTGTTATGTAGTGTTAAATAACAATAGGACCATCGTTCTTGTGCTTCTGTAACTAACGTAAATCCAGCGCGAAACCAAAATTATAGAGTGAGTGCCAAGTGTAAAGTTTTCCTCTTGCCAACGTCTTACGAAAGAATGAAAGCTAATAACTGCTCTTCCGGTGCGATTCTTGGTAATAACCCTTTCTCGTATTCCAACAACAGCTGATCTTCAAGCCCTGTAATAGCAGTAAAATAGACAAAAAGGCGAACAGCTCCATGACGCGTGTGAACCTCATGAATGTTAATAATGTAACCTTAAAAGCATTATAGGCGACGACAAAGCCTTGATTGTGGTTACACGTTCCCTATTTTTCCAATAATTGTTGTTTCGGGGTTTTCGTGTCCGGCTCAATATAGTGCGACTGTCGTCTGAAGTCAGCGGATCGCACACTTGCGTAGAGTTCAAAATTTCGACAATCTTTGTTGTAATCAGCAAAATAGCCCTTGTCTTTGTAGACTGTAAAACAGTCCGTATTTTGCGTATTCAAGTACGCGCGAGCAGTCCAACAAAAGGTCTGGAATGAGGCTGAAAACAGAGAGCGAGACTGGGGAGAGACGTTGTCTTTGAAACTATGAGTTTCTAAATTTACCTACGAATAAAGAATCAACGCAGAAAGTCGGTAGGCTTTCATTATGAGTAGCTTTGTGGTCTCGGTAGTGATTTCGTTTATGCGAGGCATCGGTGATCAATTTTTGTGTCGAGCTAGCAAGTTTTCGAACTTCCTGTCATTTCCACTGTCAAGTGTAACGATTCTGTAAGCCTTTTTTTCCTGTTTTCTTTCTTCTTCGTAAGGACCAAATAGCTTCTTTTAAATTAAAGCAAATTGTTGTGGTTTTGAAGTGTCCCATGTGTATTTCATTCTTGTGTGACCACGATCGAGGTTGATTATTGAATTATGGCGCTATACAAGCAAAAGATTCGTTCAGAGAACTGCATGTAGTTAACAGTTTGAACGTTTAAGATGAATTACAATTTAAGAGTAAAGTAATTCTGTACCATAGAGACATTTCAGGACGATATTTCTTTATTGCCAGTTGTTTGCATGAATCAAAGCAAAGGAGTAGTGACGTCACTGGACGGCATTAGCGGCTCGTTGATTCAGACGTCCCCTTCGGGAGTATGTGACTCGAAGGGATGTCTGAGATTTAGGATCGAAATTCGACACTTTCATTGTTTAAACCTTCTGAAAGAGTATAGTGAAATTGTGAGTTTGCGTAATACCTTTCGATAATTAAGAAAGGAAAACGAAATCATCACAAAAATCAGGAAATATTTTCCCCTGTAAAAAGGTTGCTACCGGTAGGCCTAGCCTGCGTTGCAGCCGGCCCACGCACTGGTCTAAACCAGTTGTATAGTCCGTCTGCGAATTAGTGCACAAAAATTCGTTCTAATATCCTGCAGGGTCGCAAGGACATATGTGAGCGTTTCTGATAGACGGGTTTCTTATGCGCCTGACGATTAGCCTCATTCTTACGTGTGCTTTACGGTTGGGCGCAGAGACATGTCAAAATTCACAGAAGGGAGTTGGCACGGATCGTTTACAGTAAACAATGAAAGAACAGTTCGAACTTTAAAGCCTTCTTCCGAACAAAAAATGTTTTAAGAGAATTCTTTCAAGGCCAGAATTTCCTTGTAAATTTGGCGACTGGTTTTCCAGCGTCTTCTAATCGCTGCAGATGCACTGCTGCGTATTCTGCAATCTAGCCGACATTTCTAGCGTCAAAACAAATCAGGAGATCATAATATTCACGGCAAAAAAAAGATACACATATGTAGCTATTCAGGTCCAGGCATTTCGAAGAAAATCAAAGAAACTAAGGTTATTTAGCCGCAATAAAAAAGCTTAGGCTTAAACAGAGGTAAAATAAAATCATTAAATGGTAAACTGCATCTGTGATCAAATCATGTCAGAAAATATTTGCCGAGACATAAACCACGGGAACTAATTACTAAATATGCATGGAACAGACCAGCTTCATAACCTCTAAATGTGATACTCAAAGCGCCAAAAAATATAATTGCTCAGTCAATATGTAGAATACTCCATGCACTGCATGAACTACGCAGAAAGAGAGCAAGGAAAATCTCTGTTGTTCAAGCTGACTCTACGGTCACGTTTCATACCATCACGAGCTCAACCTCTCTGTTTGGCCTGTCAACACTTAATTCAAATCGGACTAATCACAAACTGTGTAAGAAACTAGCCAATCAAAAACGCCGACAAATGTCCTTGCGACTCTGCGGGATTAGAAGACGATATTGTGCACTAATCCGCAGACGCTCTATAGAGAAAGTTTAGAGTGTCTGCGACGCAGGCAACGGTAAGCCCCGCCCCCTTCACCTTTCCACCAAATGAAAAATGAAAAGCACCGACAAAAGTGCCACCAAAAAATTTCATTTAGTTCGAATGGGCATGAGTAATATAACTTGTCTGCAACTTTACATTCTTAGATAAAAATTAGCCAATAAGAAAGTCAACATCACCTATGTTTGGTCCCCGTATCAAGGCCTTTCCAAAGTGACACCACATGTCTGCTTTATCTCCTGTCTTCATTTCTTGTTTTATGTTGCGGAGACACTCCAAAACATCCTCCTCAAGTTTTGAGAGATATGACGGATTTAACGTTACACCGGCAGATTCCTAAAGAAGAAACAAAGTGAATAAGATTATTCAGTTCTTAAAGAAAGAGATATCGTCCCATTCGTCAAACCTGGTGCAGCTATTTCTGCGGCTTCATTCATGGTCACTGAGAACCTCAGAAAACTGGGATTGCTTTGTGCATGGATAATAGAAGGACTGGCTAGGAAACTGGCTGACATGCTTGGTTAAAACACAGTGGAAAAATGTGACGTCACATTATCGAGAGCCATCCAACCTCTTACAGTCGATGTCAGTTTTGCGCATATTATTTTTCCTCGTTTATTTCCCTATCTCTATCTTCGACTTTACAATTGCCCATGTTTTGAAGTAAAAGGATGTAGAGGACTTGCTTTCGGAGAAGACAGTTAGACAAAAGAAGAAAGAAGACGCGAGAAGTCGTGGCAAAACACATGAAAACGAGGAAATTTTTTGGGAAGCCGCTGCCTGGTTAGCATGAATTTTTGCTCAATTTTTCTCATCTGTAACAGGCCATTTGCACCAAGAGGTCATGTGACATCGTTTTTATGAAAAGAAAGTTATATGATTTTGCCTTCGAAAAACGATTAGCGGGTCATATCTAAACAAAATAATAGTAATTTGATTTTTCAAACCCGCACCATTTTCTTAAAATGAGTAAGTACGCAGCTGGTCACGTGACCAAAATGTGTGATTTTTAAAATTATGAATTACCTCTTTCTGAACACAAATTTTACACTTAAACTTCAAGGAAAATGTAGAAAAGATGATGTTGTAACGTTTACAGCACATCTGAGCGTAAATATCAAATGTTTAACAAGGTATAAGCAAAGAGTAGTTTTGGCCGCCACGTTGGAGGGCAAGAGTATGCCCTCCAACACGGCGGCCAGTACAAATCATACTGCTTTGTCGAAAAATCAAAGTGCCATAAAATATCTGCTCTGTCAATTTTAGCATGAACAAGATTCCAACTCATTTTTTAAAGGAAGCATTAGTCACGTGACCTCTCAGTGCAAGTGGCCTATTCAGGCTACTGCCTGATTCGCATTATCATTAAACATAATACCAAGTTGCGTTAACATTTTTTATTTATTTAACTGTTTCTGAATTTATTTGCTGCTAGTTTCTTTCTTTCTCCTTCAAAAAAATCTTACTTTCCCGGAAAAAAAATGCCTGAGGCAATTGCCTCGGTTTGCCTCATACTGGCTACGGCACTGAAAGCAAACTCTCCAGGTTAATAGTAGGACCTTCACTTCTTTTTCATGAGGAAACACTTGTCTTCCACTTATAAGGTTTAATATATATTATATTATCTTTTGAAATACTGACCTTTCTAGGATGAAACAACCTTTACGTTTTTGTACTGTAGTGGCTTTTTTTTAACGATATGGATAGGGAATACTGTAAATCACGTCTAAAATAAACATCAACTCTGTTCCCAAAGAAAAATAGAGGCTGATTATTGAAAAAAATTCAGTAATATCCAGGGTTTTTGTTTAGCCTGAGGCAAGTGGATAAGGAGTTGAAAAAATATGACTGTCTGGTCACATTATCATGTTCTTGATAATGCCATACCTCAAACAAGTACTAGACAAGGACAAATAACACAAGGCGACAACAACAAGTGCTTACCTCGAAGGTTCAGGTGTGGGTTTAAAGGGTCGCCATCGCCGTAAGACAACAAACCAAGGGAAAACATAAACCGAAAATTAAAGTAGCACTAAAAACTTCGATAAAGAACAACATGTGGGCAAACCAACCCTACATTTCGACTGGTTTGCGCCACCTTTTCGCAATCGTTTCGTCACAAATTTCCACT